GTCCTGTACTGCTGGGATCCATGCAGTGGATGTGGGGCACACGAAGGCATGAAGAGTACTGTTCCACTGCAGGCAGGGCCACAAGGAATTCCTGCTGCATGGCAGGGCCCAGAGGTTATGTCTACAACCACCTGAAGGCAGTTCCACCTCCCTTTGCATAGAACTGGACCACCCCGTTGAGATTCAGGCATTGTTAACCGCTGAGGGAGTTGGTTTTTACTATCAATGTGAGCTTGGAGGTTGATGTTGCCAAAGGGCCTTTTACAATTCATGCTGTCTCTACCTCATCTCTGCTGCCCCCATTGAGCATCCTTGATCTTTAGGTCCTCCCTTTTCTGTGATGCATTTTTTTTTCCTTAACTGATTCAAGATTAAGCTGTAGAATGAGGATTGCAGTAGGAATGTGTTACTGATTGATATGCAATTGAGAACTTCTATTGAGAGCTTTAAGGTGAAACAAAGGGCAGAATTATCCTTGGAAACACCAGCTTGACCTTGACATAAAAGTCTGTGTCAGAGCTTGTAACTGCTTTAAAGGGGACAGCTTTCTTGCATTGTCCACTATGATTATGAGTGATCCATTTCTTTCCTTTTTACGTCTGTCCCGTACACCCTTCTCAAGTTATAAACTCGGCTGGAGCTGGACTCCGGCACTGTACAGTCCCAGTCTGAAGGCCATGGTCTTCCCTCTATAGGGTTCTGAACAATTCAGGCATTCTGAGAGTCCTCTGGGGTTACTGCAAAGACAAATCCAGCTTCCAAAAGAAGCCACTTGCACTTAAAAGCCATCCCAGGATATGTGGCTGGAACAGGTCAACATGTTGAAGGCACTTGAGGAGACATTCAGATTAACTAACCGCATCCTGCTGACTTCATCCGATAAATTCCTAACCAAAACAGACATGGCAGGCTGTGTTGGGATCTGGGAATCCATTCCTGTACTGAAGGAATGTTTACCTTAGGAGGAACACATATCCTGGAAGGGCATTCCCTTGGACATTGGCATAAACACACAGGTGTGTGACAGAGACTCAACAACTACTGTCATCCTACAAACAAAGACCCTGGGGCAACCTGCACCCAGCTTGCATTTGCACAAAGCAAAACTAATCATTTAAACTGTTACTTGTATCTCCCTAGATTACCAAGTGATTAAATTTGAAGATGGGGTGCTCGGTAGAATAAGTATAGATCGACTGCTGAAAAGGCGATGTGATCATGTGAAAAGCTGCACATATTTCTACAACTGGATAATGCGGACCTTGTCTCCTCTCACTGGCATGTGATCTGTTAAACATGCTGGGCTCCTGGTAAAAAAATTTTTAATTAACGCAAATTTGTACTGCTTGAAAGGAGTTACACACACTCAAAATCAGAATGAAAAGGTCATCTGGTTGTATAATTACTTCAGAAAGAAGTTGGCTGAGACATGTATGAGAACCTTTAAGTTGATGAAGGGGCTGTCAGGCAACAAAGTAGGTTAAGCCTCTGCCCATGATGCTGGCATCCCCCCTGCAAATACACCTAAGAAAGAGGATGACTCAAGTGCTTGGACACCTGCACCCATTTAGAAGACCAAGAAGCTCCAGGCTCCTGGCTTCAGGCCATCCCAGCTCCAGCCATTGCAGCCATTTGGGGAGTGAACAGTGGATAGAACTCTCAGAATCTTTCTCTCTTCATTCCTTCTCTCCCATTAACCAACTCTCCCTTTCAAATAAAAATAATTTTTAAAAAGCTTAAAAAGCTTTTGAAAATTTTGCGTTATAATTTACTCCCATTTTCCCATGAACCTTATATGTCAGACTAATGCTTAAGGGGCAACAAGTACCTCACCACAGGTAAGGAAATTCCATAGCACTACAGAGAAGATTCATTTGGTAGATCCTGGTGGGTTGATCAGGGCTGATAGGAATGTCCCTTGACCTCAAAACCCACATCAGAAACATGTTGTTTAAGTCCTCTGGTAGGTGGTACAGCAGTGAGCTGGCACTTGTCCCAGGACAATATGAGCCTCTGAATAGAAAAAAAAAAAAAAATTGAATATATCAGTCTCCTCTTCTAAAAGACACTATGAAACAAACTATTCATATATAAGAATACTTTATTTGAAGGCAAAATCCTTTGAGTTATCAAGAAAAAAAACCAGAGAATACAGAATGATTTACCTCTCATGCAGCTAAGCAAAGAACCTGTTTGCTGATTATTGCAAGAGAAGCAAAGGCACCAAGCAGGATCGCATCCGACTGTCCGATCCTCCTTCTCGGCAGGCAAATCTCTTCCATTTTCCTCATTTTCTGTCCCAAGAGGTCAGGAGGCTTATCAAACTGTTTTATTGATATAACCACCTCGATCCTCTAAAATGATCCAACTTCCCACAACAAGGAGAAAGAAGAAATAAGTGTTTTTTCTTCTTGAAATGCAACATAAGCTTGTGTTTTCCAACAATATCTTTGAGAGTTCCCAAGTTCGATGATTAAGAATCAAATAGGGTATCCTTGGAATTGTATCACTGTTTCTATTTTAAGAACATGTGGGGCCCGGCGCGGGGGCGCAAGTGGTTAAAGGTCCTCACCTTGCACGCCCGGGATCCCATATGGGCACCGGTTCTAATCCCGGCAGCCCCGCTTCCCTTCCAGCTCCCTGCCTGTGGCCTGGGAAAGCAGTCGAGGACAGCCCAAAGCTTTGGGAACCTGCACCCGCGTCGGAGACCAGGAAGAGGCTCCTGGCTTCGGATTGGCATAGTATCAGCCCGTTGCGCTCACTTGGGGAGTGAATCATCGGACGGAAGATCTTCCTCTCTGTCTCTCCTCTCTGTATATCTGCCTTTCCAATGAAAAAATAATAAAAATAAATCTTTAAAAAAAAAAGAACATGTGGATGACATCTTTTGATTTGTTAGGATTAGTAATCATCAACTCCCATGAACTGACTCTGCTATATTTTAAGTACTGTGGTGTTTTGCAAAACATGACAATTTACAGCACTAAGCAAGATCAAACCAGGCAGGCTTCCCCTGGACAAGAGTCACAGGTCATGGATCCGATGTTTTGTACCATCCCAACAACTGCTACTTCACATTTCAGACTGAGAAACAAACCCCTACATTTAATTTTCTTGGTTGAATATAGTATACGTACAATGCAGTATACTGTCCTGAGATGTTACAATTTAACAAAAATAAAGAAAAAATATAACATACAGGGCCTGGCGATGTTACCTACTGGCTAAAGTCCCCGCTCTGAATGCACCGGGACCCCATATGGGCGCTGGTTCTAATCCTGACAGCTCCACTTCCCATCCAGCTCCCTGCTTGTGGCCTGGGAATGCAGTAGAGGAAGGCCCAAAGCTTTGGACCCTGCACCCATGTGGGAGACCTGGAAGAGGTTCCTGGTTCCCGGCTTCGGATCGGCACAGCACAGCCGTTATGGTCACTTGGGGAGCAAATCATCAGACAGAAGATCTCCCTCTCTATCTCTCTTCCTCTCTGGATATCTGACTTTCCAATAAAAATAAAACAAATCTTTAAAAAAAAAAATACATAAAACTTGCAAAGGTAGAAAGATGCTTAAGCAGTTGCATAAAAGTCCGTGTTGCCAGAGTGTTCTCTTTTTGAAACAGAAAAGTCACTCCCAGACACTTCTTCAATATCTTCATCAGCTTTTGTTTTAGTTTTGAAATAAGTAGCCACACAAAGAGAACAAATGGCTTCAACAATATCAGGTGCACAGCAATCATGAAAGAATAACCCGCAGTGACCTGCCAGCTATAGCCGCTCGTAGCAGCCACAACTGGCCCTTCCTGGCTCCACACTCCTGGTACACAGTCTTCACAACAAATACAGTTTGAAAACAAAAGTAAGATAAATTCCAGGACTCTGACCTTCCTACACATCTACCTTTGCACAAGTATGAAAAATTTGGAAGGGAGAATCAGAGATACCCCATGCTTCACTTGCAAAGCATCGTTCCCATGGGACAGAGGACACCCAACTGTCAGCTCCCTCGGCCAGGAAAAACAAGATGTCCAATGGCAAAAGTATCCTTGGACACTATCTCAGAATTAGTGGACTAAATATTAGAAAAAGGATCCAGTTACTAAACTGGTCAAGGATTATGTAAAGGAAAAGTTCTGGGAAAAGGCTCTTTGTCAAATTTAAAAACAGAATTCAGGAATTCTCTCAACGAGACCATATCACTAGATAACCTAGTTGGTTGACTATAACACAGAACGCCCAGCTCATCTCCCAACCCAGTGCCTTCAAAACTCTACCCTACTTCTGATTATATTCTGGAAAGCAAACACCCTGGGGCACAGTCCTAGAGTCTTACCAGAAACATTTGAAACTGTCCAGAGGGATGATTTTGAAAGGGCTTTCTATAAAGACCCTCAATACAGCAGCTGCAGTCACACACGGCTGTGAATGCCTAGCAAGCAGCCAGAGCGATGACGAAACAGCTTTAGATTTAGATGTAGACGCTATAGTGCTAAACTATGCAATCCTATCTGCTGCAACAGTTACTTTTTTTTACGGACTAAAAATATATTTGCAAATGGTAAAACTTGCATTTCTTATGATCCACAGAACAGGCAGGAATTCTCATCTGTTAAAAAATAATCCCTGACTTAGTCCCTAAAACCAGTAATAATCTATCTCCACTTAAGCAGACAAAGGAGAAGTAAGACAATTCAATGGCAATGCTGGCTCCCCACATATCCTTTTGATGATTCCCAAGAATATGCTACACTTGGCCTTGATGTTAGTCCTGTGATACCTTAAATGAATAATCATAATGTCCTCTTCACCCTTGCCAGTATCTTCACTAGGAAGATCCAATGACCTGGCAAACTGAGGCTTCGTTCCTCTAAACTGGGAGCACGGACTTTTTCCACATGCTCTGTCAGATACACAAAAGAAACCTTAGAACACAATGGTCACGGGACACTGTCACTGTGATGGTGCAACACAGGATGCTGAAAACGCGACACTTCCAGACTCGGGCTCAGGAAGATGCGTGTGAGACTGAAGACGAAGGCACGAGGGCCATCTCTGCTGCACAGTTCTTCCAGCTCCATTCGTGAAGGATATCTTCATCAGCTTTTGTTTTAGTTTTTGAATAAGTAGCCACACAAAGAGAACAAATGGCTTCAACAATATCAGGTGCACAGCAATCAGGTCCAGCTGTCTCCAACAGCAGGAGAGTGCAACGGCTTCTCTGGGTGAAGCCTGCGATGCTGAGTGAGGTAGGCACTCCGGCTGAAGCACTTGTCACAGTCGGCACACTTGTAGGGCTTGTCTCCCACGTGGCTCCTGCGGTGCCGGATGAGGTTGAAGCCCTGACTGAAGGACTCTCCGCAGTCAGGGCACTGATACGGCTTCTCCCCCGTGTGTGTCCTCCGGTGAATGACCAAGGTGGAACTCTGACTGAATGTTTTCCAGCACTCGGGACACCTGTAAGGTTTTTCTCCAGTGTGCGTCCTCTGGTGTCTAATGAGGTGGGAGCTGAGGCCAAAACTCTTGCCACACTCGCAGCATCTGTACGGCTTGTCCCCTGGCTGGATCCGGCTGTCTTCTTCCACGCCGTAGCTCTGCCTCGGGCTTTCTTTGTATTCTGCGCTTTCACAGAATTTTTCTGTGTGTGTCTTCCGGTGCGTAACAAGGTTTGAACTTCGACTAAAATTCTTACCACATTCTGAACACTGGTAAGGTTTTTCTCCCGTGTGGATTCTCTGGTGCTTTGTTAGTGTGGAATTACAAGCAAAGCCTCTTCCACAGTCAGCACATTTGTAGGGCTTCTCCCCCGTGTGTGTCCGCTGGTGGCGAATCAGGCTGGAACTCTGACTGAAGCGCTTCCCACAGTCGGGGCACGTGTAAGGTTTTTCTCCGGTATGGATTCTCTGGTGTTCTATGAGGACGTAGCTGTGGCTGAAGCCTTTGCCGCAGACAGGACACTCATAGGGTTTTTCACCTGTATGGGATCTGTGGTGCTGGATGAGATGAGAGCTGCTACCAAAACCCTTGCCACACTCGGGACATTTGTAGGGTTTCTCTCCTGTGTGAGTTCTCTCGTGTACAATAAGATGGGAGGTATTGCTGAAGCTTTTCCCACATGCCCCACAGTGGTAGGGCTTCTCTCCTGTGTGTGTTCTGAGATGCTGGATGAGGTGAGAACTGTTACAGAAGCATTTCCCACACTCGGAACATCTGTAAGGCCTTTCTCCTGAGTGAGTTCGCTGGTGAGTGCGCAAGTGGGAACTGTTAGTGAAGCTTTTCCAACACTGGGAACATGTGTAGGGTTTGTCTCTGTAAGGTGACTTTTGCCCAACAGAGACCATGGCGTGTTCTCCTGGGCCCCACGCCCTGTGGCTGGGTTTTTCCTGCTCTTCTGTAGAATGTCCCTGAAGCTCTGACCTACCATCATTTTCTTCATGACACCAGTTCTCATCCCCTTGGGCCCACATCAACAGTATTTCTTCTGTATCTTCATGTTTGGAATTTTGTGGGCCATACCTTTTGGTCCATTTAAGAGCTCTCTCTTTTTCTTTCCCAGGATTATTATGTTGAACTGTTTCCAAATTATTTTTACTTTCATCACCTGCAAGAATAAATACGTCACCTAAAAATATTCCCTCATCTCTGCTGTAGAAGACAATTAGAATTTCAAGCATAAGAGAGGGAACAGCCACTTTAGCGTTCGCAAATTACTTTTCTAAAGAATTTCTAAAGCTAGTTTCACTCCGTTTACTGTGTACATTCGCCAGGAGCCAGTGAACTTCTTGTACCTATAACAAGTATTTGAACTGTTGTCAGCAACTGCCAAGGGAAGCAGCAGTTTAAAAAATAAATGTGCTCAACTTTATTCTAGAAGAAAAAAGAAATTTCGAGTAGGAGTGAAGTTGAATAGAATCCTATCTGAAAACCAGACAATCACTTGGTTAAAATCTGAGCAAATATACAAATTCACATCAGTAGCTTTGCATGTAGTTTCTCATTAACCCTACAATATATACAAGATAGAGATTATCATTGTTTTGCTTAAAGATGAGGAAACTAAAGCTGAAAAAATGAACATAGCTTATAAATGAATACAATAAAGTCTACCTCATGCTCATGTACTTTATGCGTATGCGTTAGCACATTTTATAACAAATTTCTAAGGATGCAGAATATGTTGATTCCTTACCTGTAAAGGGACTTTGCAAGCTCTTCAGGAAACCTTTCGAAGCTTCCTCTGGTTCCATCTCAACAATACTGGCCAAGTCAAGCTGAGAAGCCCTGTAGAAGAAGGGCATAGGTCATGTCTGGAGACCTCTGTCCAATCACGACCCTCCTCCCTCCTCCCCAGCCCCCCAACATAACAATTACAGGCTCAGAATGTGCAGTGACGCACACTGAAAGAACCGGCCGAGGCTGGAGAGGCTCTTTCACAAAGTCTTACCTTCGATGCAAGCGACCTGTTCTAGAGAAATAATCCTAAAGATTCAGATGCGCATACCCAAGGTCTGAGGATTAAGCTTTGAAGATATGAAAGGACATTGAAAAGCCAGAAAAAAAAAAATTAAAAGATGTTTTTGGTGCCAAAAATAACCTTACAAGGTATGCATTTTTATATAATACACATTTTTCCATCAACTTTTTTGAAGTCCCCTCATAGGATAAATACTAGTACTCACTATCCACTCGTGGCTTAGAAAAACTTTCCATTGAAAACATGCTATTTCTTTCCAAAACAATGCCAATACTAAGACTTTCACAGACTCTAGGAAATGTATACACAGGCCTAAGAAGCAGGAAGAGACATACTCTCACCAGTTTGAATATCCAATTTGGTTGCTGACGGAAGAAAGAAATCTTTGAAGTCAATCTGAAAAGGACTTATATATCCAGTGATAAAAAACAAAAAAACAAAAATTAGGACAAAGCAGGACTGGAATAATTATAGCCAGTAACTGCTAAATATTAAAAACAAGGATGCTAGGGGGTCTTTTTCTTCCTTGCTCTTAGTACCTACGTCTACCATAAACACAACAGACATTTCAGCCAAAACTTGAACTTCTGGAGCCAACCACAATCCCTGACCTACGGGAAGGGACCTACCTGAGAGCTGCTCCTCCAGAGGAAGCCAGTTACACCTGGACTTGACACCCATCACAGGAGTCCACAACGACAGGAAGGGGGACAACGGAAGCCTGCAAGCACACACAGGGCACTCATACTTTATCAAATAGGTGTACTTTTCACAGCAAACTAATTTGTACACCCTTCTCATTTAACTCATGATAATCCTTTGAAGTTGTACATTAAGAAGTTTTTTTTAAAGGCAGGCCCGATGCCTTTTACATGCACACCTGTCACAGTGACCCAGAGCAGTCAGCAGAGCTGGGCAAACTGCCGACGATGCTCTAAGATGACCTTTCTTGGGGATTTGTTAAGTGTCTTTTCAGAAAACACACCTGCATCCCCTCAAACTGACATCACGGCGGGCAGACTTTTGGTGAACACACCCAGAAAACTACAGGGGATCGTTATAAAAATGACACTGATCCAGAGGACAAACATTTCTAGTAGCAAAATGGAAAGATACGGACATCTGAAGGTAAGAGGAAAATGGTACTCAAAGCTAATACGTGTAGCTGTCAGTATATATGCAGGAAGCAAGTCTGAGGAGTCCTGTCCCACCGTTCTCCCTTCCTGCAGCAAGAAATTCAATTTAGGAGTAAAGGAGCCCATGGGTACACTGCAGGAGACAATCAGGGGTAAATCCAAGCCCGGGCAAGGGGGTACAATCTTGTCACCCCGCGGTTGAGGGGTGCAGCCGGACCCAGGTACCCGGCGGGTGAGAGGGTGCAGCCCGACCTGGGTACCCCGCGGGTGAGTGAGTGCAGCCGGAACTCGGCACCCCGCTGGTGAGTGGGTGCAGCCGGACCTTGGCACCCCCGCTGGTGAGTGGGTGCAGCCGGACCTTGGCACCCCCGCTGGTGAGTGGGTGCAGCCGGACCTTGGCACCCCGCGGGTGAGTGGGTGTAGCCGGACCTTGGCACCCCGCGGGTGAGTGGGTGCAGCCGGGCCTCGGCACCCCGCGAGTAAGGGGTGCAGCCGGACCTCGGCACCCCGCGGGTAAGGGGTGCAGCCGGACCTCGGCACCCCACAGGTAAGGGGTGCAGCTGGACCTTGGCACCGCGCAGCAGTGGCACTGAAGCTGGGGCAGTGCTGTCTCCGCTTCTCTCCCCCTCGGTCTTGGCTGCTTCCCCTCAGCAGGGAACTCACTGCCCACCAGGCTGCCCGCGACCCTGGATCCCCCAGCAGTCCCCAGCGCTCCAGGACACACCCCGCTCTTCCTGACCCGCCAACACGCGGTCCTACAGACCACCCCCGAAAAACAGACCGGAAGCGACCCTGCTTTCCCGGCGGCCTTAGCTGAGGCCCTTCTAGGAAGCAGTCAGGGCCAGCTCCTTGGTCTTAACCCCTTTGATCCCGGAGTGAAGCAGCGTGCGAAGATTCCCCAACTGGGATACACATTTCTGTTCACTTGTCAGGCACGTTATGAAAGGGGCCTGATGGGAACTTGTCATACTTCTTGCCATCAGGGCATCATTGAGGTTATCTTCATTATTATTATTATTATTTAAAGATTTATTTATTTATTGGAAAGTCAGATATACAGAGAGGAGGAGAGAGAGAAAGAGAGGAAGATCTTCCTCCCGATGATTCACTCCCCAAGTGAGCGCAACAGGGCCAGTGCTGTGCCGATCCAAAGCCAGCAGCCAGGAACTTCTTCTGGGTATCCCACACGTGTGCAGGGTCCCAAGGCTTTGGGCCATCCTCAACTGCTTTCCCAGGCCACTAGAAGGGAGCTGGATGGGAAGTGGAGCTGCCGGGATTATAACTGGCACCCGTATGTGATCCTGGCGCGTTCAAGGCTAGGACTTTAGCAGCCATGTTACGCCGCCGGGTCCTATCTTCATTATTATTGGAGTGCAAATTCTTCAAGTATTGATAAGTACCACGAATGTAGAATATTTACCTATGAGAAGGCATCTTTTCAGTATATGTGCTGCCGAAGTGAGCACTTCTTTTCGGTTTTCAAAGATGCATTTAACTCTCATTACAGAAAAAGGACAAGTCAACCCCCACCTGCCTCCACACTTCACTCTGTTCACTGGTCTCCATTGCCCAGGTGTTTAGAAAGGATCTCTCCTCTTTATTTAACACACGTCCTATTGTTTCTCTACCTTTTGGCTAAGACTGAGTGTAAAACACATCCTTTCTCATAATGTTTTCTACCTTTTGAAGAAAGCTATACACAAATTCTCAGTTCCCTTCCCCAAACACAAAAGAGTTCCTCAGATTTTTGTTTTCTCACAATTTTTATATGTTATCATTTCTCCAAGTGAGCATTTCTCTTGAAATTAAAAAAAAAAAACAAAAACCCACCACCACCACCACCACCAACAACAACAAAACATAGGAACTGGCGTGGTGGTGTAGCACTCTAATTTTCCACCTGCAGGGCTGGCTGTCCCGCTGTTGCACTTCCCATTCAGCTCCCTGCTTGTGACCTGGGAAAGCAGTCAAGGACAGCCCAAAGCCTTGGGACACTGCACCCGTGTGGGAGCAGGGTGGAAGTTCCTGGCTGCTGGCTTCAGATTGGTTCAGCTCTGGCCATTACAATCCCTGGGGAAGTGAAACAATGGATGGAAGATATCTCTTTCTCTCCTTCACTCGTTCTGTCTGTTAATCTGCCTGACAAATAAAAATAAATGAATCCTATAAAAATAAACCACATCGGGGCCCCGGGACAGGGCGTCTCAGGCCTGGATCCCACAAGCCTGCCATCATGTGCGCGTGGTGAGCTGGGCCTGGGCGGCCAGTGCGCCGTTTGGTGTCAGGCTTTGCCTGCTGGCCACCTGGCAGAGGAGCTTTGGGATTGTGGTGGTTTGAATTGCTGCTTATGTAGCTCCATGTCGAACCCAATGTGTTTCTGTGAGGTGAATGTATTCTAAATATTCCCAATGACAGTTACTCTTCCTTTGAAGAACGTGTTATCACTTAGCAATGGCTGACCACCAAATACCAGTCCATGCTAAAGCTATGGCGCGGGGCTTGTCTAGCAGAATCATATTCTGTTACCTGACATGATGATGCATCAGGAGAATGGTCACTTTGGTCAGGGCCATTACATTAACTAGCACTTGAGAACCATATCCAGGGGTAGATTCTGGGAGGGCTGTGTGGGCGAAGCCCTGTGGAAATTCTAGCCCCACTGGTTAGCTCCAGAGTTGCGGAGGTGATGGAATAAGCTCGGGGTGAACAAGTAGCATGTCATCAATCACAGGTAAAGGAACCCACAGCAGTCTGGACTGGTCAAGGCAGCAGCACCTGAATGTGCATCCTGAATAGGGTGTGGGGTGGGCTGGGCTGCAACGTTCACCAGCTCATAGAAGGCTAGATGGAAGGCCAGACTGCACCGGGCACTGGCCTAAAACCCATTGGCATGTATGAGAACTGGGTCCGGGAGTGGATCAAGTGGAGAAACTTGGGAAACTCCCCTGGCGGGTCATAGCTCCTGCTGGTGAACATGTGGTCCAGACAAGCTGGGCAAGGGAGTTCCAATGGCTGGCTAATGTATGGGTTCGTAATGGAATGGGGTGTACCGGGCAGGACTGAGCAAGCCTTAGCCCACTAGTGAAACTGGAAACCAGGATGGAGCACAGGTCATGCCAAGCCAGGCTCTTACACTTACTGGTCTGCGTAAGTCAGGGATGTTAAGCCACAGTGTCCAAGGCAGAGGCCGGTACAAGTGAGGGGCTGAGTCAGAGCAACCACTGGCATGTGCGTGATCTGTGGTTGGGAACAGGCCTGGTTGGGAAGCTAAGGGGACACACTAACTGGATTAAGGCTACTGCCAAGGAGCACGTGGGCTGGAATGGGGGCTGCGTTCTGATCAGGTAACAGTTGAAATCTCCCTTGGCACAAATGTGGACTGGGACTGGAAACACCAGGCTGGGCCAGACCCCAACACTGTCTGGTGTTCTTGGAGGTCCAGGATAGATGTGGGACGGACTAGGCTAAGTCTCAACCCCTACTGAACCATGTGTGAGCCATATGGGTATGGACGAGCCGTGGCTGGGCTGAAACATCCAACAACAAGAACCAGCTTGGGTCGAAGACCAGTCAGGAAAAGCCACTGTTCCTGCTAGGACAGGAGGTGAACTGAGTAGGGCTGGCTCATGGACCCCCTGGTATGCGCAAAATCTGGCATTGGGAGAGGTTCTGATGGAGGAGCCTGGGC